CAGCATTCCTGCTGCATCCTCACCTCTGCTGTTCCCTCATCCAGATGTTGCTGCTGCTTTCCTTCCCAGCTGGTGCAGCTCTGCAGAGAGGCTGCAGCAGGTGATGGTCACTGTGCTCACACATCTCCACAGCTGGGGGGAAAAAAGGAAATAAAGGAAAAAATCAGGCTGGTACTGCCTCCCTCCCAAAGCCCAGTGGAGCTCCAGACTGGAAATGACAGCCAGGCTGGAGCTGCTCTCTCCAGAAAAGAATCACAGAATCCCAGAGTCACTGAGGCTGGAAAAACCCTCCCAGCCCATGGATCCACCCTGTGCCCAATGCCCCCCTTGTCCCCCAGCCCAGAGCACTGAGTGCCATGGCCAGGCCTTCCTGGGACACCTCCAGGGCTGGGCACTCCAAACCTCCCTGGGCAGCCCCTTCCAGTGCCTGACCACCCTTTCCATGGAGAAATTCCTCCTGGTGTCCAACCTGAACCTTCCCTGGCACAGCCTGAGGAGGGGCACAAACCAATGAAAAAAACCCCACATTTATAATCTCTTCCAGTGTTGTGGGTTTTCTTCCTTTAACAAGCCCTCGATTTTCTGCAGAATCTTCACCTCAATTTCCCTTCGCCAGAATTCCCTCTGGTCCCAGTGTTCTTTCACCTTTTCACTTTCCATTTCTGCTAAGAGTGAAGAAACACACAACCCCCCACAGTTTTTCTCCAAAGAAAACCTTCTCCAAGCATTGTTTTGATGCATTTTGACAGTTTTCACGGTTCTCAGCATAAATATTTAGACCAAAAAGAAGCAGCCAGGAAGGAAGTTTACTCTTCCCAGTAAAGCGGGCATTTCCTTCAAAAGAACAACAAAAATATTTTGATTTAAGTCTCTCAGTCAATCCAACCTTGGGATGAACTGAAATGCAGGTTTAGGGTGATGCTTGTCCAACTGTCCCAGTACATTCTCTGGGCAGGGAAATACCCGAGAGCTCTTCCTGCAGCTGCAGAAAACCCAGCTCAGGGTCCAGAGGTTTTCTGCTGCTTTTTTAAGACCCTGGGGAGGTAAGTGCTGCCCCTCAGCTTCTGATTCTCCTCTCGAAGCAGCCAGGAAAGGCCTCTCCTCAGTATTTCATACCTGGTGGACAGCACACCCTCACTCCAAAGCGTTTCCTGGCTGGAAATGCATCCCAGTGTAATTTAGGGCACACCAGCACATGAAAGTGAACTTGATTTAAGCGAGTGCATCACTTGAAACTGCAATAGCTTTTCTCAATTAACTCTGCGTGTAGGAAAGACCTTGAAACGCAGCTCAAACTGCTCTATTAAGGCCCCATAAAGTCCTCTGTGAACACTATTTATTCTGGCTCACTTCAAAGCCGCTGCTCAGCCTGACACTGATCCAAGGGCTGTGGCTGTGGAGCTGCAGGACTGAGCAGCTGAGTGGTGATAACAAGGTCCTGCTGCACAGCCCCCTGCAGGGACTGCCACCGTTTCTGCGGCTCTTTGATCCCGAGGGAAGGGCTGAGTCCTCTGGGACAGCACCCTGGCAGTGCCCACATCCCATGGCACAGCCTGGCCAGGGCACCAGGGTTCTGGGCTCCCCTGACTCGGCTGCTCCAGGTCGGCACCAGCGCTCCCAGCGCTCCAGCAGTCAGGGATTGCTGGTCATGGGAGCCAAAGTAAAATATTTCCTGTCAGGTCAGTGCTGGGCCGGGCCTGTGCGTGGGGTTAATTAATTAAAGAGGCTCAGGCAGAGCGTGGTAATTTGGGAAGCTGCAGAACTCAGCTGCTCGCAGTCCTGTGCCCGCTCTGAGCCCCTCTGGCAGAGGGCAGGGATGAGCTGCAGCCGTTGGAATTCACTCCTTTGGCTGCAGAGGGGCAGCTTCTGGGGGCAGATAAGAGCGAGCCCGTGCCCCAGGTTATCACACGAGGCAGCTCCACACACAGCCCCTGCAGCAAACAGGCACTGCCAGGAGAAGCCCAAATACCCAAATTTTCCCTCCAGCTCAGCCTGAGCTCTTCTGGGGGAGGCAGAGCCCCGGCTGAGGGAGCTGCAGGAACTGGAGTGATCCTGCTCCTCCCTCCTGGCACAAAGACAACCAGGGCTGAGCCCTAAAAAGTAAAGGAGCCTTTTCTGCTCTTCAACTCACAATAGTTTGTTTCTGGATTCACTGTAACTGGGATGGAGAAAGGATCCTGTGCCCCAGGGAAGAGCTAATGCCCTTGTGCACCTCAACGCCGCCTGTCCCACAGGCAGGGCTTTGCAACACACCAAAACTGGGTTTTAATGCTAAAACCGATCTGTTTTAAAGCTGCCTCTAGTGGGGAGAGGGTGGGAATTCAGCTCACCGAGCAACACACATTGAAGTTGTGAGGAGCTGTGGGCTCCTGCACGAGCCAGCCCAGATCCACCTCAGCCCACACAGAAAAAACCCCAACTGACCTGCTGGAAATTCCTACATAATTTCATACGATCCAGAATTTTCCTTTCAACATCGCCGCAAATTTTTAAAGAACATTTTTAGAAAAAATTAGAAATAAAAGTAGGGTGGTGGTTTTTTTGGGGGTGGGTGGGTTTAAATAGCCTTTCACTCAGTAAATGCAGTGCTGGATGCTGCAGTGCCAGGCTGGCAGCTGGGGGGGGCTCAGAGGTTCCCCTGAGCTCCCTCCCTGGCCCAGTTGTGTCCTTGGTGGCAGCCGGGTGAGCTCCCGATCCCGATCCCGATCCCGATCCCGATCCCGCCCTGGCAGCCGAACCAGGACTCCTTTATTGCCCATGTAAATCAGGGAAGCTCCGCCGGCTTCCAGGAGCTCTGCAGATTTATGCCAGGAGCTGACCCGGCATCTCTATTTTCAAATCTAGGGCAGATTGAAATATGCTGGTTTTCAATAATATATTCAGGTTAACAGGGCTTTTATATTTGAGCAATTAATCTTGCATGGTCCGAGGAGCTCTGGGGAACGCGTGTGGAGGTTGCTAAGAAGAGCAAACAAACAGGGTTGTGTAACCAGCTCTGCCAGGGCCCCCTCGGAGCCCCCGAGCCCGGCAGGGATGGGGCTGCAAAGATCCCAGCCTGGCATGGGGATGGTTCTGCCATGAGGCAGCATTACCTCATCCTGCATTACTGTGAAATGACTCAAAGCAGAAATATCGAGACATAAATCCCAGGAAAGCCAGCACTGTGCTGGAGGAAGCCTCCCTGGAGCGTTCTGGGTCTGCTCCCTCCTCCAGCACCTGCCCAGGAGAGGAGGAAGCCCGGGGGCACAACACACTCACCTTGGGGTGTCTGTGCTGGGGCCAGAGGTAAATCCACACTGGGTCCAGCACTGATGGTGCCTCCAAAGTCTCTTCCCAAACCTGATCCTGGTCTTTCTGCCTCCCTCTCTCTGTCTCCTGCTGACCTGCTTGGCATCTTCAGCTTCACCAGCACCCAACAAACACCAGAAGAGATGCTCTTCGTGGGCCCAGACCAGCCAGGAGCCACCTCCTTGTGCTCAGGAGACAGACACCTCCCAGGGAACTGGGTGATCCTTCCAACCCAAACCATTCCATGATTCTCTGACTCACTGATCCCTTTCTTTGCTCTAAAGCTCCAGTTAGACCAATACATGACTTTCAGTCCTGAAATTGCCTCTGCTGTTTTTTCCCTCTTCCCATTTGCTATTCCCCCATCACGCAGCAGCATTCCCAGTGTCCCAGATTTACCAGACCCTTGTGATTTGACCCTTAGTTTCTCATTCTTCCAGCACATTAGACTCTAAACCAGCCTGGGCACACAACTGCTGTCTGCCAAGCCAACCAGCAATCATGGGTTTGGGTTCATGCCCAGGGGAAGAAATATTACCAGCTAAAAACTGTGGAATTTTGGGTTTTTGATGGAGTTGCCGGGGGGGGGGGGGCAGCCTGTGCTGAGCTCTGCAGCAGAGCAGTGCCTGACTCCAGTGGAAACCATTCGAGCACTTACAGTCCCTGCATCATTCCATGACACACATTTCCAATCACAAATAGCAACAGACTCGGGAAGAATATGCAGGTGGCTGTGGCGTGATTAATGAGTGCTGCATCTGTCACTGGAGTGGTAATTACCCTGCACAAACCCAGCCCTGCAATGGCAGGGCAGGATTTATTCCAGCTGAAAATCTGGCTCTTTACGCCGTTTTTTTCCTTTCTTTTTCCTCCCACAAAAAATAATTTCCTTGTGAGCCCAATAAAAGAGAAGCTTTCCCTGGCTCATGTTATACCAGCAACATCCCACCCCGTGAGGAGCCAGCCCTGCTGCCTCTGGCCATGAAATCCAGGTAATGACCCAGAACTGCACTGAATTAGTGTTTCATTTCCCAGCCCTTGCCGACAGCTCCCTAATGGAAATTGATTTCTAGCTTTTTTCTTTTCCATTTAACATGCTTGTGTAACATCTTTATTTTACATTCCAGGGAATTTTAGCCAAAGGGCCAGTGCACAGGTGGCCCCTGAAAGCACCTGGTGAATCACTGCTGTGTTAACCAAGGTCTGGGGTCCAGGGGGGCTGGGACACCCCAGGAATGTGTCAGGACCCCTGCACAGGGACACCCCACACGTGCAACCCTGCCCTGTGCCCACCCCACTCTCTGGGATGGGTCCTCGGGGGGTAAATCAGCAGATGTGAATCCAGGGAACGGGCCCAGCATTCCCAGTGCCATGGCCCCGATCCCTCCTGCACTCCTACAACCACCCTTTGCACCTCACACACTTCAGTTTGAACTTTCACACCCCCAGGCAGATCAGAGCTGCCCCACCATCCCCTGCAGCCACCCCCTGACCAGCAGTTCCCCAAACCAAGCCGAGAGCCTGGGATGTCCCATCCCTGTGGGGTCAGCCCCAGCCCCAGCCCTGCCCTCGCTCGGTCGCCCCAAATCCGCGGGAATTCTGCCCAGTCTGGGCTCCCCGGTGTAATCTGACCCAGCCCCAGCACACACACACACACACACCCTGTTTGCTGTATTTTGGCGAAACTCAGCTGCCAGCTCCTTCACTTGGGGCAGCCCAGCAGCAGGGACGAGGCTGGTCCTGGATGTCCAAGCCCTTCCCTGGGCCAGGCGGAGCCAGGCACTGACACCCGGGGAGGCTCGAGCAGCTCCTGCACCTTCAGGTACAAAAGCTGGGAGGGAAAATAAGGTTTTATAACAGTGCTGGGCCATTTTCAACCCTCCTTCACCTCCAGAGCCTGGAAGGTTTGGGTGGATGCTACAAAGGACTTGGGACAAATCCACGTTTCTCATTTTCCTTTTCTGTAGCGTGTGGAGGAACCAGAACCCAGCGGTGCTGGTTCACACTTTAAAGCAGAACTAAATTATAACTTTTCTCAGTTTTCAGTTATTTCCTGGTTCTGTAAGTACTTTTATAGCCCTATAAATTGTCTGGTAAAGGAATTGTTGGTTAGAGGTGGTGTCTGGGGTGTTTGTTCCCTAGCGAAGGGCGAATTGGCTTGTATTGTTCCTAAACATGTTGTAGCGTGATGACAATGATAACAATTAGCTCAGGGTACAGCAGAGTGTTAATTGTGAGCTGAAATCCCAAACAGAGCTGTCTGTCCAGGTCAATCCTCTCCTCTGCAATGCCCAGGGATCCAGGACATTTCCCTGGCTGAGGGAATTCTCTGTGCCTGCTCCTCTCCTCTTGCATTGCTAAACCCCAAACCTTCCCAGGTGCATTTTGTACTTGTGCTGACAGCACAAACCTGCTGTGCTCCTGGTGAATCCCTGATGAATGATAATTTGGGTTTAGTTCCTTAATGGATCCAGAGGGAAGGTGAATATTGAGAGTAAAGGAAGGAGAACTTAAGAATGGCAGGTTCAGAGCTCTGTAGAGATCAAAGACAGGGGAAGGTACGGGACACAGAAGGAATGCTGGATGTATCCCTGTGTTATCCTGTCTTGTGAAGCAACATTGTGTAATTATTAAAGCAAATTTCCCTTCCTTTTGTACAAGAGGAAACCCGTGAGCAAATTAAGAAACTACCCCTGTGCCTCAACTCACCTGCTTGCAGGGGGCAGCAGCAGAGCTGGACACAACATTTAATACTTTCCCTCTGCCCTAGGGACTGAAGTGGAATATGGACAATTACAGGATAAAAATAGGAAAAAATGGCATTTAAAAGTGATACTCTATTTTTGTTTTTAACTTACAGCAGGCAAAAGGTGACTTGGAGCCACTGAGGAAGGATGTGGGCTTACACTGTTGGGTTCACTGTCCTGCCTCACGTTGGGGGATTCCTTGGCTGGTTCCTGAATCGAAAGGAAATTCCTGCCTGGTATGAGAAGCTGAAAAAACCTTCCTGGTGTCCATCCCGCAAGATGTTCCCTATTGCCTGGACCGTCCTGTACACGGGCATGGGGTAAGTTCTATGGCTGCTGCCCCTGTCCTGCCCCTGGCACACCCAGGGCAGCCCCCCAGCCCCTGCTGTGCTCCTGGGATGTGCCCTGTCCCTGAGCCAGCAGGGCAGGTCAGGGGTGTCTGTCCCCCCTCAGGTAAAGCCTGAGCCAGACCCCGGGAGTGCCTCAGCCTGGCACTGCAGGCACTGCCTCTGGCAGGGACACAGCCCTGCCCAGGCTGGGAGAGGTGCCCAAACCAGCCCTGGGGAGGGGCAGGAGTCACACAGGGGTGAGAGGGCAAGGGATACAGGACAATAGAACCATGGAACATCCTGATCTGGAACGGACCCACGAGGATCCAAGTCCTGACCCTGCCCAGGACACCCCAACAATCCCACCCTGTCCCTCAGAGCACTGTCCAAACTCTCCTGGAGCTCTGGCAGCCTTGGTGCCATGCCCACTGCCCTGGGGAGCCTGGTCAGTGCCCAACCACCCTCTGGGGGAAGAACCTTTCCCTGGGATCCAACCTGACCCTCCCTGGCACAGCTCCAGCCATTTCCTGCTCACCCAGAGCAGAGCTCAGGGCCTCACGTGGATGCTGCTGCCATGCAAACACGACTGTCCTGTCAATCCCTGCTGGGAAACACTCCTACAGGAGAGACTTTGTCTCCCTTGGGGATTTACTTGCTGCCAACACTAACCCGTGTCCCTCTCCACAGCTACGCCTCCTACTTGGTGTGGAGTGACCTGGGCGGCTGCAGCAGCAAAGCCATCATCCCACTGGGGCTCTACGGGGCTCAGCTGGCCCTCAACTGGGCCTGGCCCCCCTTCTTCTTCGGTGCCCAGAACCTGAACATGGTAATGGCCCCAACCCCCATCACCTGCTGGGGCTTCTCTGCTGGGCTCCTGCCCCCCGGGTTCGGGCTGGCTGGGGTTCTCTAACACTGTGTGACTGCACTGAGCTGCCAGAGGGGCCTTTGCTCAGACACAGCTCCCGCTGCTCCTGCTCCCAGACAATGCTATCAGTGCCCCCAGCCTGGCCCTGCTCCTGCTCCCAGACAATGGTATCAGTGCCCCCAGCCTGGCCCTGCTCCTGCCCTGCGATACCGGGGTGGGCAGAGCCGGGGCTGCACCTCCCAGTTAAGGGTCCAGAGGGAGAGATAAGTCCTTTGGGGGAGTCACACCCTGTGCCACAACACCATCCTTGGGGGGAGCAGCCGTGAGGGGCTTATCAAGCACACACAATGTGCAGTGCAGAGCTCGGGGCTGAGGCACTGCTGGCACAGCCACACCCACCCCGGGCCACAAGGCACTGCCTCGGGTGCCAAGGCCTGGAGGGGATGGAAACACACACAGGGATTTATGTTTCCACCTGATTTTGTCACTCGGGGGGTGAAAGGTACAGTTAGAAAGTTTGTTCAGTGACCATGGCCATGGTATCCCCACGAGCATGTTCTGTGTCTGTTATCAGCAGAGGGGACACTGATTGCCAGAAACTGGGGGTTGATCTGTGGAATTTGATAATGAGCAAAGAGATGAACATTAATTAGTCTCGGCTCCTGGTGTGACACGTTCAGGTCTCACTGATTAGAGCTCAGGACCAAGCTCCCGGGCTTTAGGAACTCTCCAAGTGACTGCTCAGTGCTGAAGGTCCCCCATTGCTGTTCCCCCTCTCCACCTGTCCCAGGGTGGTTTATCCTCATGCTGGGAGGTTCATCCTCGTGCCCTGACTCACTGTGCTCTCTCTGCTGCAGGCCCTGATCGACATCCTGTGCCTGGACGGGCTGGCCATTGGCACCCTGTGCTCCTGGTACCGCATCAACAGGGTGGCAGCGCTGCTGCTGGTGCCCTACCTGGGCTGGCTGGCCATGGCCACCTGCCTCACCATCCACATCTGGAGGGACAACCCCGAGCAAAAGGCAGGGAAGAGAGAATAAATGAAGGCATTTTGTGTAGCTAAACTGTGCGGATGTGAACCAAGATCTACCAATTTGGGGGGGCCACTTTGGGATGTGTCCTGCTCCTCCTCCCATCGTGGCCGTGTAAAAGGTTTGCACGAGGCACCCACGGGCTCCTTTAAACTAACTGGGCATCCTTAACCAGGGAGCTGTTTTCTCCAGCACTGCTGAGGTTTGGGGGCTACAGCTGTACCCTGCCCTTAATGCCATCAGGTCCAATTCCACCAGCTAAACTGGGATCTCATGATCCATCATAATTCAGGGCAGCAACACCAGAGACCCCTCGACACTGCCCCATTCCCCCAGAGCAGAGCTTGGTCACACAGGAGCTAAATCCCATCTCCTCTCCTGAGACCAAACAGAAATGCCCTTCACTCGTGCACATCCATTTTTAAGAACTTGATTTTTTTTGCTATTTGTGCTGTTGCTTCATGTTCATATATCACCTGGTTTGGGCTTTATACCTTTAACTTTTTATCTGACAGCTCCAAGTGAGCAGGGATCTGCCTTGTTCTGCTGGTGCAAGGAGACTGGGCTCTGACTTCTATTTGGGGAGTATCACACTCCTTCAGCTCATGCTCCAAGATAAAGCAGTAATGATTAGAATGCAAATGCTTCTCCCCAGAGGAAATTCCTCTCTTCCACCTCTGTGTGCCATTCCTCATCAGAACAGAAAAACTAACATCAGTGCCTTTGAAAAAATACTTAATTTTTTTAAGAAGAGAGACACAAGAGTCTGTAAAATTCAGGAACTTGCTCCCACTGCCTTGATGGTTGTAGCTACATAACAGGCAAAGAGTCTGTCAGGTGCAGTGCAAGTGCCTCATCCTGCAGTCTTTCCATTCCTCAACATTATTTATCAGGAAGGTTAAAGTACAAGGATTTCCTGAGCAATGGGACCAAGCCATGACAGATCAGGCACAAGGGGTGCATGGACTCACCTCTGTCCATCCCTTATCCTGGCCCTTGACAGACCCAAACCTGAGCTCTCACTGTCTCCAGAGAGTATTTACTATTATTTTGGATTGCTAAAAGCACCATGTGTGTAGAGAAGGAGCACGAGGATCTTCCTGGCAGCTGTGGAGATTGGGGTGCATGGGGGGACCTGCAGGGTGGGGGTGGAGGGGCTTAGCTGGGGCTGTAACATAAATTGTATTTGCTTTTAATAAAACCAAGCCACTACTTTTTTGGAGAATAAATGAATCCAGTTCTGTTATTTTGATCCCATTCCTTAGTTTTCCCTTCTGGCTCAGGACTCCTTTGCCCAGGGCTGCTGCAAGCACAGGGCTGTGATGTCCCCAGTAGGAGCTGCATGAGAACAAGCCATGGCACAGCCGAGGTTGGAGCAGGGGCAGGACCCCAAAGCACAGGCACTGCCAGGAGGACTGGGGAGATCAAAAGCTACTGAAGAAAAAAGGAAAGGAAAAAGAAATCCTATATAATTTCAGGGCTTTCTCTACCCATCCGTTTCCACTGCACTTATTTCCAGCAGCTGTGTCTTGCAGGGAGTCCCCTGCCAAGGGACGGGCACACAGGGATGATTTGTCCCCCAGAGGAGCTGGGGTCTGGCTGCAGGTTGCATTCCGTGGAGTTCAGGCTGATTTACGGGCGCTCTGCCCGTCCCTTCCCAGGGAGCGCAGCACAGCAGAGGAACAGGGATGAGCAGGGCCCTCTAGTGAGGCCGGGAGGGATTAAACGAGCCTCTATCTGCTTTTGGAAAGGGAAGAGAATTATTTAAATCACGTTTAAATTGGTGACTCTAGATCTGGTTCAGACCTGCAACATTTTAATAACATTTCCACTTAAATAGATGGGCTCATATTCGATCAGCTTTCATAAATTAATCCTATTTCTCCTTCTTCCCATGTTTTTTCTGCAGGTAACAGAAAACTGGAATTAAGATTAATGGATTTTTTCCATGTTTCCCCTCCCCATTTTCCCAGCTGCTGGGACTGGCTGACTGGTTCTTGTTTTCATTCCAGTTCCTCCTCCTCCCCCCATCCCACCTATAAGTGCAGCAGGAGCCTCTTTTTGCCTCTTGCCTTTTCTTGCAGGCAGCAAAAATAGCAAATGCTCCTCCATGTGATATCCAGAAGAGCTTGAAATCAATTGGCAAAATTAAATTCAGTGAAACACCCTCTTGTATTAATATTTAAAGCATTGTTTGGTGTATTTGCTGTTTAAACAGGTACACTAAACCCCTTTGCATAAAAACAACTTTAATGACACTTCAAAGTCAGCTGGAGAATTTCTTAGGCAGACTGTGCAGTGCAGACCCAAACCAGCCCCTGCCTTGGGGGGCCTCGAGGGGCCCTGGTGTCATGGGATCACGGGATCCTGGAATGGTTTGGGCTGGAAGGGGCCTTAGAGACCATCCATCCCACCCCCTGCCATGGGCAGGGACACTTTCTGCTAGACCAGGCTGCTCCAAGCCCTGGCCAAGTCTGTGTTTGTCCAGCCCCCCCAGATTAGCCCATGGAATGAACACAACATTCCCACAGGAATGTGTTGTGGTGTCCGTGGCTCCCAAGTGGGCCAGACAAAGGCCACAAAGGCCAGAGGACAAAGGACAAAGGACAGCTGTCCTGGGTCATGGCATTTGGAGCCAAGAGTCACCTTGCAGGTCACCCTGTCTGTGCTGACCCTCCCTTCAAACCTCAGCCACTCTTTCCAGAGAGACAATTTGCTATTAAACTGATGGTTACACTCCATGTCAGTGATCACCTCCCTGGCTACTGCATCCACAAGACTGTGCATAAACAACACCTTTCTGCCTTTCAGCCCAGACTCATTTCCCAAGCCCTGTCTCATTCAATAATTCACCAGCTGCTCCAGAAAACACTCCGGCTGCAGCAGGACGGGACTTTAATTGATTTGCTGATGTCTGGAGCCGTGTTCAAACATGAAGTCGATGCCAGGGAGGGTTTGCTGCCGTGTGCAGGTGAGGCAGTTGCCCTCCCCTGGCCCTCCCTCCGCTGGGTGCTGCAGGACATAAATTCCTGTGCTCTGACCTTCCCCCTGGGCTGCTCCAGGAGCCCTGCAGCAGGAGCCCAGCAGGGAGGAGGCTGTGCTGCTGGGAGCTGTCATTAACTCCCAGTTGGGCTCTGAATTAACTGGGGAGGCAGCAGAGCTTGCCAAGGCTCCTTGTGTCACAGGGGGGTGTGAGGGCTGGGAGTGGAGAGCCAGGGTTTGGCTGAGAAGATCAGGCAGGTACAGAGCTGAGAGCATCACCTGTCCCTGCCCCAGGGCTCCCCTCAGCCCGGGTGTAGCACCTCTCACCAGCACTTGGGTCAAACCTGTGGGACACGAGTGTTTCCAGCCCCTTCCTTTAAACCTTGGCTCTGTGGCCCTGCAGCAGGAGGAGAGGGACAGGTGAGAGCCCCCAGGGGCTTCCTTCCAGGAAGGAAGGAAAGAAGGAAGGAAGGAAGGAAGGAAGGAGGGAAAGCTGCCCCTGCACATCACTGTCAGTGTTTATTTATTTATCACGTAGCGGTAGTTACAGCTGGAAAAAGCAGGAGGGGGATTGCTGCCAGACAATGTCTCCAGGAGACGTTTTGTTAGTGCCACCAGCTGTCCCCTCGGAATAGAGAGCACGGCTGAGCCGTGACTCACACCCCCAGGCTCTGATTTCACTCTCCCACCTATCCAAAAATGTTCCACCAGCCCGAGAACGCCATAAAAGCCACCTTTTCCTGGCAAAGCCTTGGCCAAGCAGGTGTGTGTGCTCAGGACAGGGAACAGGCAGGGTAACTTCGGACACTCCTGCTGTGAGGGGGGCTCAGCTGGAGAAAAAGAGGCTCAGGGGGAACCTTCTGGCTCTACAACCCCCTGACAGGACTGGGGAGCCGGGGGGGGTCGGGCTCTGCTCCCAGGGAACAAGGGACAGGAGGAGAGGAAATGGTCTCAAGATGTGCCAGGGGAGGGTCAGGTTGGACAAAAGGAGGAATTTCTCCATGGAAAGGGTGGTCAGGCCTTGGAAGGGGCTGTCCAGGGAGGTGATGGAGTCCTCACCCCTGGAGGTGTCCAAAGAAGGAATGGACGTGGCCCTCAGTGCTCTGGGCTGGGGACAAGGTGGGGATTGGTCACAGGCTGCACTCAATCCTGGAGGGATTTTCCATCCTCAGTGATTCTGGGATTCTGTGAACAAATTCAGAGCCAGTGAAATAAAATATCAAATAACTGGGAGTGGGGCAGGTGGAGGGAAACCTTGATAAAAATGCTGCTGGCAAGTGTCTGATTTGGGGTAACCTGAGTCTCCCTGAGGCCCTTCTGTGAGCCCCGGCCCCTCTCGGCACTCGGTGCCCTCGGCCTGGCTCACAACAAGCTGATGGAAAAAACCTTCCCTGGCTGCCTCAGGCACTAATCCCAGGCTCACACAGCCCTGGACACACATGCACACGTCGGGGGAGCTGGGGTCACTTCAAAACCCCCAGCAGAAGTGCCCAAAGCCCTCACCCAGCCCAGGGCTGCACTGTGGGATTGACAGCAGCTCCGGGGTGCCCGGTTATAATTTTGGCACAGGCAGACACTGCAGGGGGGGATCATGGCTATTCCATGCACTGCCCTACAAGGAGCTGGGAAGCAGCTGGGGAAAGGCTGGAGAGAGGGAGAGTCTCAGTGCCACATTCCCCAGATTAGATTAGAGCTCAGCCCTGGACCCTGCGGAGGGGCCTGCTGGTGAAAGCTAAAGGCTGCAGGAGAGGTGGGACCCCAGCCACCAAGAGCTTCCAAAAATAAAGCAAAGTGGGTCAGAGGGACTGAAGAGGGGCTGGAATTCTGCTTTAGAGCATAAGGGTTAGAAGGAAACAAGCTGTCAGTCACTGAGAGAGGATTCCCCTCCCCAAAGGCACCGCCTGAAATGTCAGAGGTGACAGGAACGGGACAGGGGAGCTGCAATTGGAGCGTGGTTACCACGCAGGAGGCAAAGCACTTCACCTGCCCTCCAGGAAAGTATTTTAAGCTTGAAAATAAATAAAACTCTGCACCATGAAAGATATATGTTCCATGAATAGGATGTCTTGGAACTTGTCAAATCCTTGGAACTTGTCAAATCGAGCTGTTGTCACAGAACTCCCTGTGCTCTGTCAGTCACCACATAAACAACCCTCATCACCAGCAAACAGAGGGAAAAGTTATCCCAAAAACTGCAGTAATGATGTCATTGAGGAAAAGCTCCAAAGGATATTCAGCACAGAAAGGCAGGGTGATAGCAAGGGGGCTGGAGGAGGTAGCAGAACTATTATAATAATTTATTACATATTGTAAATTATCTATTATAATGTATTATTAATTTCCTATGATAATAAATTATCTGCCCAATTGCATAAATTTATTCCAATTTGCGATAGTGCAGGCTCCTCCAAAGCCTCTAAAAAGCTGACTCTAACAGGATCACAAAGGCTGACTTTGGCCCCAAGGCAGGTATTCCCACCTATTTGATCTCTGTGGAATACAGTTTATCCTCCACAAACTAAGAGTGGTATTTCCACTAAGTTCTGACTGAATACTCAATCAAATACAGCTGCATATTTCATATGGGTCCAAATCTTGATGGTGGTAGGTTCTGAGCTAAGTGCAGAGCCCACAGTACTGAAGACTTGATTTCCAATGTGCTTTGGTTCCAGCATGGCTCCTGCACAGCTTCCCACTCCTTTGCCCAGTGGCATGCTAGGATCAGTCTCTGGGAAAAACCTCACCAGGTTTTCCTTAAGCTTGGCTCATGTGGGATTAATATTAAGCTTAAATGATTAAAATTTAGAGTGAGACATTGGAAGAATTTCTTATAACGCCGAAGGAAAATAAAAAAGAGAGAGAACCTCCCCAAGCCCAGAGATATCCCAGGACACTGGGAACTGATGGGACACTTGGGCAATGGGGAGGAAAAGTACAGAGCAAGGGGCAGAACCAGCACTGCTGCCCACTGTGAATTCCAATTGGACTTTCTGATATTTGGGAAAAGGTTCTGGCTTGCATTTCCAGCAGCAGGATCTGACAGCAGCTCCAACAATGGGATTTCTCCCTATCCAGCTCCCGTGTTCTGTGCCCTGTGCAGGGTGGGAGGAACCACAGGTCTCCTGCTCCTCTGGGCACTGCTGCTGGGATGCTCCACGAGGCCAAATCCACCAAAACCAGGTATTTTTCAGCAAACTAAATGGCTCAGCCTCGTCCCGAGCCAAACCAGTGGTCCTTCAAGGTCAGCAAGAGGATCAGCTGGCAGAGGAAGGAGATGGAGAAGCTCCAGCTCTCCCTGTGCCAGGTGTCTGTCACAGGAACGGATAAATACACACTTGTGCTTCCAGGATTTCCACCCATTGCTTATCCCGCCCACAGCGAAGTTGTCACTTAATTTGAAATTAAAAGGGGAGCAGGAGGGATTGTTGAAAGGAGCTGGAGAAAGCAAGGGAAGGAGGTGACACCCGAGAGCCCTGGGTCACCCTACCCCAACCAGCCTCTGTCGCTGCTGCTTTGTTCCATATTTAGTTCCTGACAACTGTGCCTGGGGCAGGAACTCCCAGCTCTGTTTTCCCTCCTCTCTGCACTCCCAGAGCTCTCAGAAGTTGCTCTTTCTCTCTCCCAGTGGCCACAAGTCAAGCCCAGTGTAGTGCAGAAGATGGCAGAGAAGCAGGAGGAGCCCAGTAATGCCCAGAACGGGGAACCCGACAATGCAGAGGAGGGCGAGGGCAAGAAGAAGAAGGTGAAGAGGGAGGACCTGCCACCGTTTGAAATCGTGACAGGGTAAGAGATTTGGATTTAAACAAGGGGGTAGGAGTGAAGGGGGGATGTTCAAAGGGCTCTGCCTCAGCTCTTATGGTGGGCAATGAAAGCAGCATCTTCTGCCAGTGCATTTCTGAATACGGTTAACATTCACTGTGGGCTTTTGTTAGAAGTTTTGCAGAGCTGTGAAAGGTGGATTCACACCAGGCAGGCACACAAATCCACTGGTTTGATATTAATGGGGTTGTTTCTGCAGTGTTGGTTCCCTCCCAGGGCAGGCAGTCCTGGCATTGCTGGCTGAGGGTATCAGGATGGAGGGATTGGCCTTGATGGGAGCTGAATATTGATTTCTAGCTGTGATCAATGGCTCTTGTCTGAGAGTTTCTCTACCTGTGGATTAGGAAAAACACCCCTGCTATGGCTGATTTGCTTGATGGGCCTGAGGGACAGATATTTCAAGAGACCTGAAGGTTCAGAGTTTCAAGGGCTCCACAGCCACAGCTGGAACCTGATTTTCACAAAAAGCCCAGCTTGCAGAAAGGTTCCAAAACAAGAGACAGTTTTCAAGGCAGTGGAGCAGCAGCGAGCCTGGCCCTTGGGAAAGGCAGATACCACTGAGACCTGGTGGAAGCTGAACCCTCAGCCATAACTGACAGCTGTAAGTAGGAAAACCCCTCAGGATCTGCTCTCTCCAAGTTTCCAAATGCTCACTGCAGTAGTAGCAAGATGCCCCTCGTCACTCTCCCCTTATCACTCACCAAGGCAGGGCCCAGCAAACAAACCAAAGCCAGGATTTCTTCCTGCTGCTGGAACGTAAGGCTCAGGCCAGGCTCTAAAATCCCCCCTGGGATCCTCCTGCCTGTGCCATGGGCGCTGGTAAGGAAGATTCTGCAGGTAAAATTTGGCTGGTGTTCTGACAAGGATGAGTGAGGCAGGACAGCACCTCTGGCTGTCACAAAATTGGGTTACATTCCTGTACAGGGGTGAAAAACCCCTTCATTTTCTTCTCAAAATGTGTCTGCTCTGAAAAGATCCCTTCTTGGGGTGATCTCTGTCACACACAATCATAGAAATAGCAACGCCAAGCAGTGGCTTTTAAGAAAAGCACATCCCTCTGCTAGGAATGGAGCTAAGGCACCAAAAATTGTGGATATAAGCCATTGGACCAACCTCTGAACACTTAAAACGTGTACTAAAATGACTGTCAGTGAGGACATTGGATTTTTCAGCCTTAGCACCCAATTTACAATTAGAAATGCTGAGGAACTGAGCAGCATCTTCAAACTTCCTTGCTAACCCCAAGGATCTGTGCTAATCGTGGCTGAAAAATACTTTCTCAGCATCATCTTGCAATTAAATTATTTGTTGAAATGCCACGAGTGTTAGAGGATTTGACAGGATTTTCTACCCTGGAAAGGTGAGAGTGAGGAAGTGAAGTAGAAATCCCTGAAAGAGGTACAGAAACCCCAGAGATTTTTACTTTCATTTTAGGGACACTGAGAGTTCAGGACAGGCCTTGACCTGTGATCTCGGTGGGGGGTTTTCTCATGGGGTACAGATTTTCAGCCAATCAAGCCAGTTATGTGCATGATGAGGAAACACCCAACTGCAGCCATGGAAGCATTTAAACCCAATTACGTGTCATGTCAGCTTTAGCCCTGGGATTAGGGGCATCTCATGACTCACAGCCAAGTTCTCAGGCTGCTGCTCCCAGCTCAGAGGAGCCCGGCTTACAGGAAAGCACTGGGAAGCCAATTACTCAGTTTAAGAATATTAACCCAATTTTTTTTGTCAGTATTCGGCTGAGCACAGACCTGGGTGACTGTAATCCCAACCTGTGAGCATTTCCTCATATCTGACACACAGTTCACACTTTCCCAGGTGTAAATGAGGTTCCTCACAGCAGTGATAAATGACCCCTTGGCTCCTGTTAGTCATTTACAGCTCGTTGAGATAATCCCCATTTCAATCCCCTCATTAGAAGTTCTCCTTCCCCTCTCCTGCCCAACACACAGTGCCAGGGTCACGTTGGGCAGCTGCTCTTTCCCTCAGCCCACCTGATTTCAGCACCTTAAATCACATTATTTGGCCAGGCCAGTGAGATTCCCAAAGACTCTCAGACTCTCAGTTCTGCCTCAAAGTTTCAATCTATTTCGCCTCAATATGATCGAACAGGTGACAAAAGACTGCTAATGAGGGAAAACTTTAACAAATTAGGTTTGAGCATTTAGAAATCCCTGAAAATCACCATCTAATGATGCTTTTCAGAGCAGTTGGAGAATGAAGGTTTCAACTTTTACCTTCCCACCCCCTCAGGTGAGTTGTGTCACAGCAGGTGATTTATATTGAGAGTATTGTGGGAGTTCAGTGCCTGCAAATAATTTTAAAAAGAACTTTCCATAGACATTTTTGCTTTTTACAACTCCCTGACAGGAGGCTGGAGCTGGGGGTGGGGGGTCAGTCTCTGCTCCCAGGGAGCAAGGGACAGGAGGAGAGGAAACAGCCTCCAGCTGTGCCAGGGGAAGTTCAGGTTGGACATCAGGAGGAGTTTCTTCATGGAAAGGGTTGTCAGGCACTGGAAGGGGCTGCCTTAGTGTTGTTTATATTCTCTATTGGAAAGTTATTTATTGGAGTGATGTATATTCCATGCTGCTGGGAGCACAGATTGAGGTGAACATCCCAGATAATCTCAGACACACGCCGAGATAAGCAATAAAATCCATCTGGAAGGGCTGACTAAATCCATCTCCAAGACAATCCATCCCAGAGCAGTCCCTGTTGCTTCAACTGCTCCTGAAAACCCAGACCCAACCCTCTCAGTGCTGTAACCCCTTTGCTGTCAGAGAGTTAAATCAGGCAGGAAGCTCCAGGTGATCTGTATTTAAATACATGATGTTATTGTAACACAACTTATTGTGGCCTTACAGAGTTTGCTCTGGAAGGAGGCAACGGGTGGCTTCTGTCAGTCACCAATTAAAGAATTGTCAACCAAAGAACCACTCATTATCCAGGATAGAGAGCAGGAAACACACATTTCATAGCAAGGTTGGATTTGAGCTTGGATATTTTAGCAAACAAGAGTCACAACGCAGACAAACACAGGGAGATGCAGCGGCTTGTCCACGGCTCCCCCCAGGAACTGACCCAGTGCCCCAACCCCGACCTAAACCTGCCCCTGAGACGCTTCTCTGCTCTGCCCTCTCCCCAGGGAACGCCTCCCAGCCATATTCTTCAAATTCCAGTTCAGGAACGTGGAATACAGCTCCGGCAGGAACAAAACCTTCCTGTGCTACGTGGTGGAGATGCAGGGCAAGGAGTCGGCGCCGTGCCGGGGGTACCTGGAGGACGAGCACGCGGCCGCCCACGCCGAGATGGCCTTTCTGGACACGATCCTGCCGCGCTGCGAGGCGGGCGGGCGCTGCACCGTCACCTGGTACGTGTCGTCCAGCCCCTGCGTGAGCTGCGCCCAGCGCATCGCGGACACCCTGCGCAGGAACAAGGCCCTGCGCCTCACCATCATGGTGGGCAGGCTCTTCATGTGGGACGAGCCCGAGGTGCAGGCCGCGCTCCGCGGCATGAAGGAGGCCGGCTGCAAGCTGAGGATCATGAAGCCTCAAGACTTTGAGTACGTCTGGCAGAACTTTGTGGAGCAGGAGGAAGGGGAGGAGGTGAAGTCGTTCGTGCCGTGGGAGGACATTCAGGAGAACTTCCAGTACTACGAGGAAAAGCTGGCTGAGATCCTGCACTGAGCTCACGTGAGTGAGGATTCCCACGTGGTCGCTCATCCCCCGGGTTAAATTAACTCTCCTCTCTTATTAAGCCATAACCCAGAGCCAATTTCAGTCACAGTCACTCAGGTGGACCTGGCTGGGTTCACCTGTACCTGAACACTGAGAAGAGCCTCAGGCAGCAACTTTCCCCTTCCAGGGCAGGAACATAGCAGGAGCTCCCCCCAGCAGATTCCTAAGGGATTTAGAGCTTTTCTTTTTTCTCCTCCGAGTAAACACCTCCAGGAATAAAGAATTAAAAGGTATCTGAGTCACGAGGTACCACCAGAACACCTGGTTTTCCCCACATGGATTATATGCAGGACACAGGTGGAAACAGGGAGAGGAATGTAGTGAAAAGGGGATTTTCCTCACCCCACGAAGTCTAAGCCCCTAAAAAAACACCATTAAAGGAAATCACAATTGCAATTGCAGAATTCCCTGGGTTTTTGGATGGGGTACTAAAGAGTCACCTATTTAAGCACAAAACACAAAGCATTTAAAACTTCTAATATGTATCTCTTCATCCAGGACCTGCTCAGAGATCTATGAAGAGAAGTGACAGACCTGGACACCTGGGACACTCCACTTCCCAAAGCTTTGACTCCAGCAGGATGGAGAACCAGCTCCTGGAAGACAAAGCCCTGTGGGACTATGAACACAGACCTTTGGTGTTTGGGATTTTTTTGGGTGTATTTTGTTCCTCCCCCTCCCTGCCCCAACCAAACCCATGCTGTGGTGAAAGGGATGGCAGTGACCTACAGGACAGGCTGTGGGATCACATTCTGGGAATACTTCATGGGAAAAGATCTTAGAACAAAGATGCTGGTTAGATAAATACATTAGAAAGTCTGTACTTCATAAATGGGAAAGAGGTTTAAGGTGAAAAAGAGGTTTTCTCCCTCTGTTCTTCCCAACAGTCAGAGCTGTGATTTAATTCAGAGCCAACAGCTCTGCTTTAAATTGTGATGGAGCCCAACAACTTGATTTCAAACACATTGAACACCTTCTCCCCTTGTGCAATCATATTTGGGATATAAAACTGGGAAAAGCAAAGTGAAATAAAATGGGAAGTCACTGCAAAAGCCAAAGCCCTGTTTATTCCTTCTTCTCTACTTGCAAGAGGTCCTAAATTGAACCTGACCAGTGAGACAGGACATCCCAGGACAGCCACACAGGGAATATTTCGTAGCTGAGAAGGCAGAACCGTATGCCAAAAAATCTTCCAGAGAAGCACTGGAGAGCAGGATCACTTTCCATGCAAAACAAGGCTCAGCCCCAGCAAGGCTCCCAGGGATGCCACCAGCTAAGGAACTTTGTCCCTACAGTTAAAAAGCAGACACAGGTAAGTGTAAGGAGTAAATCTGGGAGCAGCCTCAGTGCTCCATGTTCCTCCCTGTCCCAGTTTTTCTCTCCAGCTCTGCATTCAGCTACAGCAACCCCCACCAAACACCAGCTTACAAAGGGTGGGCAGGGAGAGTAAGGATAGGGAGCCCTTAGACACAAACAGGATTTGCATCAGCAAAAAGCCCCACAGAAGTGACTAACCCCCAGTGCTGAGACCAGAGAACGCTCCACCCACTCTGTTCCCAGGGAAATCAATCAGGAACTCTGCTATGCCACAAACTTCCCAACTGTTATGTCCCATTTTTACATTTATTCAGCACACCTGGCACTTTTCTGGGCATTCAGTATGAGAAGTGAAAAAGATTTGTTATTGTGAGAGGGTGGGAAACCAAACACGAAGGAAATGGGGAGTCCAGTTCCAGAACTGAGCAACTGTCACAAACTTTCCAAAATCAGGTGTTTTCCAACAATCTGATGAACGAGGTCTGTTACTGATTTACCTCTGCTGTGGGTGACGAACTCCAACCTCTGGGTAACACCTGAGCTACAAATGCAGTGAACAAAGAAACGTGAAGATCCAACTTCAAACTCCACACTGGGAGTTCTTCAGAGCACAAGTCATTCCCATGTTTGGATTCTCTGAAAGCTCAGCTCTGCAGACTGTAAATTATATAGATACTGTATAAAACACACCCCCAAGGGGGATTTACACACTTCCAGCTTTCCCCCAGAAGAGCCACAGGGATGAGCTCTGATCCAACAGTAGGGCATCATTTATTTAACATCACAGCATGATCCTGAGTGAACACAAACCCATCAAACCCTATTTGTGGCTAGAAGGGAGAAATTAAACTGTTACACCTGTAAGAACAGGTGAAGTGAACAGTGCTGGGTAGGACATTGCAAAACTTGAACAGCAGTGACAGGGCTCCCTGGGGCAGCTCCTCAGCACCGACCCGAACGAGAAACCAAAACCCAAACAACTCCCCCAGCAGCAGCAGCAGCAGCAGCAGCAGCAGCTCTGTTCAGCTGCCCAGGAGCTGCAGGAGCTGTGTGGAGGCCCAGTGACACCTGGTGGCTGCTGGGACAGACTGGGAACACCCCGAGGGTTTCCACAACACCGCTGCTGCCTTCTAATTAACACCCAAATTAACTCCTCTGGAGCTTGTTGCTGCTGCTGGAAGCCTCTGTCACTGTCCCACGAGTGAGTGACCCCGGACGCAGAACGTGCTCCCCAGGCAGGCCCCCCTTGGCAGTTCACAGCTTCCACTCCCAAAAGCGGGGGGAAAGGGGCTCTTTGACTCTTCTGCTCACAGGCTGTAAACTGTGATCTTGATGTCAGTGTTCTCAAACACTTCCCCAAGGATCGCTGAAACTTTATCCCACTGCAGGCCATCAAGTCCACATCCAATCCTGGAAGACAAGACATCCCAAGAGCTGGAATGGCCTCATGCTGTGCCCAACCAGCCCTTGGAGCAGCTGCAGTTTGAAGTGGCCCCAGCACAGCTCCCCATAAACCAACAGAACACAGAGAGAAAGAAACAACTCGAATTTGTTCTGTTGGTACTGAAGTGCACTGGGAAATGCAAATTTCATCTGCACAGTTGAACAGAGGAGTTGGATAGGGGTGCATACTTGAATTCTTCTTTTGCAGCAGGGGCTCACCCTGAAATATCTTTCTAGGCACAAAACACCCAAGGAGTGCCATCCCAGTCCCTGGTTCCCTCACCTGGGCATGGAGATGTCCGTGACCCCGTTGTGCAGGCAGTGAGCTCTCATGGCTTCCAAACTCTTCCTCATGCTCTCGTACGTTGGTTTGTGAGACACCTTCTGCTTTGTGATCTGTGGCACAACAGAAAAGGTCAGCTGTGCCTTTGGCACGACCACTGCAGACTACTGCCTGTTACAGAACAGATTCCACGACATTCGGAAAATCCCTACCCAGATTTGCTACTGTGGCAAGACTTGAACAAAGCACTGTGTTTACAGCTTAAAATACTCTAATTCAGCAGCCAGTTCTGTCCATGTAAAGGTTAAATGTACATGCACAGGAACAGCCTGGCTGCTCCTCAACCAGCAATGTCTGAGTAACACATCTCACACCTCTTGCTGAGACAACCTTTGCAGAAACTCCCTTCCTGTGCCTGAAGGGAGCCCACAAGAAAGATGGAGAGAGATTTTTTACAAGGGCCTGGAGTGACAGGACAAGGGGGAATGGCTTCACACTGAGAGAGGGCAGGGTTAGGTGGGATATTGGGAAAAAATCCACAGGTTGCTCAGGAAAGGTGTGGCTGTCCTGTCCCTGGAAGTGTTCAAGGCCAGGTTGGACAGGGCTTGGAGGAAGCTGGGATAGTGGAAGGTGTTCCTGCCCATGGCAGGGTGTGGGACTGGATGAACTTTAAGGTCCTTTCCAACCCAAACCATTCCAGGATTCCATGGACATGGCAAAAAAATCCACATTAAAGACTTCATGATATTGGATACTACAGTTTATCTACAGGGAGGTGCCCCAGGGACATCCCAACTCTTACCAGGTAGTAAATGTATCTGTCATCTCTCTGCAGAACAGCCACCTCCCCCGTCTTCTTCTCTGTGAGCAGAAATCACAGCACGTTTAAAACACCCCACACCCACTCCACGAGCCCCGAGCAGCTTAGAGCACCACCACCCCTCCCTGCAGCTCCTGCAGGTACCACTCACTTTGGTCCAGCAGCTCCTGGACGCCCCCGAACTTCTTCTTGAAGAGCACGGCGATGCCGGCGCCCATGCGGCAGTCCTCGCTGATGCAGTGCGCCAGCGCGTCCGACGGCGGGCACGAGAACAGGTCCCCCTTCACCTCCCGCAGCTGGGCACGGTCAGCAAAGAGAGCAGAGAGAGCACAGGTGGGCATAGAATGCCCTGGGCACAGGGGACGTGCCCAGCCCGCACAGGCTCTGACGTGCGCTTCGCTGACGGATGAGCCGGCGCGGATCACAGACCCCACACAGAGAACTTCAAACCCCACGTACAGAATGACAGGCCCCACATAGAGAACTACAAACCCTGTACACGTAATTACAAACCACTACACAGGTAACGGGTATCACGTGCCAGCCCAGCAGTTAATTTTACAAAATCAAAGCTTAAAAGGAGAATTATGTGACACGGTACAGCTGGATCACCAGTGTGTCAGTGCTGGGTGTTTGGGCAGCAGGGTGAGCTCTGTGCTGTTGTGCAGCAACTGCACCACCGACAGAAGTACAAAAGCACAGGAAAATCTGCACTAGCAGCCACTCTGCCCCCCAAAGCTGCAGGATGCAGCCAGTGCCCTGCTGTTGGGGCTGCAATCGCGGGAAGGCCTCTTTGCAGAGACACGTGTCACAGCAATATCCCACGTAACCCATTTCCTACGCACTCTCTCCTCCTGATCCTTGGAGAAGTGGGTGGCCATGGTAACGTGGGGGATGGAGAAGGCTCCTGCGGCTGGAAAGATGAGAGAAAAACAGTTGTTAGGAATGCCAAGGCTGGCAGCAGGCTGGTGTAGAGGGTGCAAGGCTAAGCTGATGTATCTGACACAGCTCAAGGGGAGGCCGGTACACCTAGGCAGGCCTGTGCAGGGCCTGCTGCGCCCACAGCCCCGGCCGGGGTGGGGGGGACCGGCCCTGGGTCACCGCACAGCGGGCACCGCCAGGCTGCTGCTACCGCCCTCCTCCTCCTCCCGCCCCTCAGGGCCCCTCCGGCGCCGCACCCGCGGTGAACACAGCGATCCGCCGGGCCGGGGCCGCGGCCTGCGCCACGCCGAGCCTGCCCAGCACCGCCCACATCGCTCCGGCCTCTCCGCAAGGGCGGCCCCGCCTCACTGGGACTCCGGCGGTACCGCCTCACGGGGGCATTGCTGGTACCGCCTCACACAACATGGCGGCTCCACCTCACCCCACACGGCGATACCGCCTCAGCCAACACTGCGGTCCCGCCTCACGGGGACATGGCGGTACAGCCTCAGCCAACACTGAACCAGAGCCGCTTCACGGTGACGGGGCGCTACCGCCCCACACAACACTGAGGGTACCGCCCCACAAAACATGGCGGCCGCGCCGCTCTGTGCGCGCGGGCGGCCCCCTCTCTATGGTACCGGCCCAGAACATTCCGCCGAGGGGCGGGGCCTGCCGCGCCCGTTCCCGACGCGCGAGAGTGGGCGGGGCTACCCCGCGCGTGCGCAGCGCTGCCCTCGCGCAGGCGCAGAGCCCGTGGGCGGGGCCCGGGCGCGGGTTGGGCGGCGGGGCCCCGCCCCTCGCCCCCTTTGTCCGCGGTTGGGCGCCATTTTGCGCGGCGGGCGAGTGCGGGCGCTGATTGGGCTTCGGGGCCGCGCGGCGGAGCCAATCAGCGCGGGGCGCGGAGCGGAGCGCGGCACGGTGAGCGCGCGCCGGGCCGGGCGGGGCGGGGGAGCGGGACGGGCCCGGGGCCCGGAGCGGGGGGCGAGTGGGGCCGGCACCGCACCCGCCCGCTCCGGGACTGGCGGCCAACCGGGGCCCGGCGGCGAACCGCGGCCCGGCTGTTCCGGCGCCGGGCAGGGCAGTCGGTGGCTCGTCCTGCCCCGGCGGGGCCCGGAGCCCGCAGCGCCCCGCCCTCCCCGGGGCCTCCCCGGCGGCAGATGGGCCCGGGCCGCCCCCCCGCTCGTCCTGCCCCCCCCGCCCCGTTCCCGGCGGTTCGCGGTCGGTGCCGCCGGAGGTGTCCGGTCACGGGGGCTCCGGGAGCGGACCCGGCCCCTCGAGCAGCGGGGGGTGAACCTGCCCGGCCCTCCCGGAGAGCCCCGGGCCGGCGGTTCCCGCAGCACAACGACCCCCCCGGTCCCTGCCGGACTCAGGACGCTGTGTCCTGCCGGGCAGCGCAGACAAAGCTGCGGGGGTGAAACCCCCTCTGTCCTTCGCCGCTGCCCTTGGAGGGATCGCGGCTCTGCCCTGGGAACTCCCGCCGGTTCAGCGGCGCTGATGGGACACGTTAAAACGCGTCCCAGGGCTGGGCATCACACGGGTTTGCCTTTAGAGCGGGCTGTCTGCTCAGGAGGCTGGCACTGCTGCAGCTTCTGTGCCCTCATATATATGTGTGTGTATATATATATCTAAATAAATATATATTCTTGGTGTGCAGGGCCAGGAGTTGGACTTTGATGATCCTATCAGGTCCCTTCCAATTTAGGATATTCTGTGATATATATATATATATTTATAGTGCTGGAACTGGAACCCTCAGTCATTCCCAGTGTGTTCCCAGTGAGGAGGAGCTGCCTGTGAGCTCACTGGGGGAGGAGCTCCATCCTGCCGTCGATGGATCTCTGATCTTTAAAATTTAACTTGGCTGCTCTGTGTTAATGAAGGGAATGAGCTAATCCCTTGGAGGATGAGGAGCCAGCACGTGGAAAATCCGGGTCTGTAACTTTGGCTGTGGCTGGTGCAGAGCATTAGGATTACAGTGCTGCTGATATTGTAATTAAACAAGACAGGCTTGATCTGGGGGGCTGGGATGAAGCGTTTCCAAGTAGAGGTTTGCCTGTGCTTGATTACTGGTTGTATCATTAAGGAAAACAGAGAACTCCTGGCAAATACAGTGTCCTGGCATCCTGTGCTGGATATTGAAATGTTTCCCTGGAGAAGGAAATGTGGGAGCTGCTCTCTGACAGGCCCACAGGCATTTGGGGCAGAAATGAAGTATCCAGTGCAGAACTGAAATGAGACACATGACAGACACAAACATGTTCAGGAAGAATATTTACTTGCTTTTATTCTGGCAGGCTGGGAGAAACTGTTAGTAAATGGGCAAAGGATGGAGCTGAAACGGCAGCAGTAACCACAGCAACTGTTCCAGGGAGTCTGGGACTGAATTCTGTCAGCATTCCTTGGAAAACTGAGAGAGCCTGAGGGGGTTTGTTGCTTTAGGCTTTGCAAATTAAAGTTCCAGGCTGTGTTTTCTTTCCCTAATGTAGCAGGTACTTGTTCAGTCATGACATGAATCAAAGACCTTGTTACAGTAACAGTAAGAATTCTTCCCTTGTTGATCCTGGGAGAAGCAGGGTGAGGGAAAAGGAGGTGCTGTAGCTGATGTTTTATTTCAGCACTGTGTTCATGTGTGTAGGGAAAGGGCTGAGGAACGAGTGGCAGCAGGAGGGTGGAGGCGCTGGGAAATCTGCTGGTGGTTCCCAAAATATATGAGGAATAGCTTTGAATGTATAAGTTCTTTATGGAAGAAATTAACCCTTGTGAGGGTCATGGGCATTAAGGTCCCTCCCGACCCAAACCATTCCATGATTCTATGGAAACAGGAGGAAAGGGAAGAGATATGAGGAATGGTGTGTAGTGGGGGAAGGAGAGAACTTCACTTAGCTCTGCTGGATTCTTGGAATGCACTTTGGTTTTGCACCCAAACGTTGTATTTTGGGAGGTTCTTTAGCAGTGACACCCTCCCCACAGGCAGGTGTCTGTAGCCCAGGATATGCAGACTCCAAGAGGAGGAGGAACAGGTTCAGAGCTCCTGTTGGAGGCACTGAAGATCAGGACAGAACTGGGATACTCTGCCCCTCAGTCAGGGTAGATGTGCTTGAATTGACCCCTCTGGTTTGTTCCTGTCCCTCAGGAAGCAGCAGCTGCCTGTGAGCTCCTGCCCTGGGGGCAGCAGATGCTTTGCTGTGCAGCCCCTGTAAGGGAACCCAGATGTGCCACCTCGGGACAATAATGAGCTGCTCTGTCCCTCTCTGCAGGAGCCAGCCCAGGGTCCTGTGGCCATGGAGCAGTACACGGCCAACAGCAACAGCTCCACGGAGCAGATCGTGGTGCAGGCCGGGCAGATCCAGCAGCAGGTATGGAAGGTGGGGAGGGGGGCTGGGGGGGTCAGTGCTCACTGACACCCCCTTTGTGTCCCCAGAGGGTCACAGGAGCACTGAGGGGCTTCGTGATCCTGCCTGGACACGTGTTCACCTGACTCCTGGCACCTGCTCAGGGATCTGACTTGGCTGAAGGTCAGAGGAAATGTGGGTTTTATAATGCAGGAATTATCGGATTAAATTGCAGGTGTGCAAGTTGGCAGATTTCAGTGTAGCAGGGAGTTGGCAGAGTTTGGGATGTGAGGAGAGGAACAAATCTCTGAAAATGGAGGAGACAGGCTATGAACAGAAACAGGCAGTTGTCCACAGGAACAGTGTAGGGTCCCCTCCAAATTGAAACAGGTTTTGTTCAAGCTCACAGGGGCTTCCTCCAAGCTTCCTCAAAAGAAATATTTATTGAGATTCTTCATTTTACAACTACAGGTGGATCAAAATGAACATACAGTACAGAAACTAAACAAACCATGTAGCTTGGGATGAACTGATCCCTTCCAGAAAGAAGTTCCTAGTTCATGTTACAATCTGCAGATGAGCAGGGCTGGATTTTTAAGGGCTTATTGATTTTTACTGTTAAACTTCCCCCATTCAGATTTAGTGATGTATTTTCAGATAAGTTGTGCTGCTGCTGAATTTTTGTTGCATCTTCTGTTTGTTCTAGTTCAAGGCAAGAGGAGTTTGGTAGTTTGTCATGCAAAGGGATGAGCCACTGGATCATGTTCTCACCGAGATCTGCTTTGCTTTGGCTTCAGCAAGGACCAGCTTCTCCCATTGAATTTAATTAACTTTTTCAGGCAGAACAAGATTGCACTTGAAGTTAAAAAACTTTACATTAGGATTTATCAAAAATACCTGCTTCCAGCAGACAACCAAAGATCTATGTAGTTTTATTGACACTTTCACTGTCAGTACATGCTCTTAAAGCCTGTGTTTGACATGAGATGTTTTTCTAAAATGAGTTGTTTTACCAGGCTGTTGCAGTACAGCTCTTAGGAGAGAGCTGTCCTTCCTCTCCCCAACACTAACACAGTTAC